ATAGAAATTTTTATTTATTTTAAGATTCCATCGATCGCATCTCGGCTTGATATATTAGCCGATATGGCTGATCAAATGGAACAAAATGAAGAAAATACAAATGTAAATCCACAACAATTATTTTTACAATATTTATTTCAATCATTACAAAAACAACAACAGCAACAAAAACAAACTGATGAACCCATTGATTTTTCTACTAAAATAACTGAACAATCTTCCTTATCCATCCAAAATAAACATAATCAATTCACACATCCATTTAGTTCTTATTTATCATCAATATCAGATAATTCAAATACAGATATTTTAAAACAATTTAACAGACATAAACAAGATCTATCTATTCCATTGAAGAAACGTAGCAGATCTAATACATCAACACCACCACCACTACTTGATACAAATCCAAATAGTAGTTATTCCGAACGACGAAAAAAAAATAATGAAGCTGCTAAACGTAGTCGTGATGCACGACGTATTAAAGAAGATGAAATTGCAATACGGTAAGTCGAAATTAATTTTTTTTTGTTATGACTTATAATAGAAATCTGTTTCTAGAGCTACTTGGCTTGAACAAGAAAATCTTAAACTTCGACTTGAAAATGCACAATTAAAACAAGAAAATGTTCAACTTCGTTGTAAAATTTATAATTCAAATGAATCTTAAGTTTGATTTTCGTTTCTTTTTTGTTTTGCTTGCATATAGTTATTATTTCTTTCCGTTTCGTTTCTTTTCTTTTTTGCCGTGAATTCAAATTGTTCATGCCATAATGAGATATCATCTGTCTCGTGTATTTAAAAAGAATTGCAAATAAATCTAACGAAAAAATAATTATTTGATGTTTATTCATGCATAAAAAAGTCTTTTATAATCGTAATCATCTGTTCGAAAAAAATTTCAAATCAAATCATCGGCATCATTTTAAGACAAGCCTTCGTCTATGATGTGAAAATAAACTGTACTCAACATTGATTGAAACGATCAATGAGAGAGCAATATGAATAATGAAACATTCAAGGTTACTTTTTCTTTTGAACAGAAAATCTAGCAAAGTAAACAGATGAATTATATGCTAATGTTAAAATAAATCTTGTTGATTGAAATATTTATCAGTTCATTGTCAATGTAGGATCAAAAGAATATATTCACTTTCAATGTAACAACTGTTGATAGAAATAAGAATTCATGATAGCTCGTTTATCATTTTATTGATGAATGTAAATTAGTCACAACTTTTTATCTCTTACATATGACAATATCATTAATGTTTCCTTTATAATCGTTTGATTTGTTAGTTTATGAAAAATTCGTTATGTCATATTAGATAGAATGAAGGTTTATTTTAAGAATTTTAAAAACAAAGCAATAATTAACACTATAAAAGACAGCTGAGAAATAGCATCAATATGATAAATACGAGTGAGTTAGTTAAATATCAACTGATATAGTTGATCAAAAAGAAGGATATATCAAACAATATTCTATTTAGAATTCAATAAAATAAGAACAAAAAGTCGATGTTTTTATCTCCCATTGCAGTTAGTATATGTCACACATCGATCGATGTGTTTTTGTAAATGAGTACGTATGTGAACTGTAATTATATATCAAACGAATATATTTTTCTCATCTTCTAAATCTTGACTATGAGCAGATTAATTTTATTTGTATCCGAGCGTTTTTTTGCTGTCAACATTGCAAAAATTAATGCATATAACTTCAAATTCTCATACTCTTTTCTTTAAAATAATATATAGTCTGCAACTCATATCATATGCAAAAAGTTACATTAAGGCTTGTTGGATAAAAGTGGAGACCTGTTATTTTCATCTTATGAACAAAATAGTGAATCTATTTAGAAAAATTTGCGCGAGTGCATGAAAAGTATACATATCCATAGAATGTTTGTGAGTATTCAGACTAAAAAATCGTACTCGTCAGCTGAATTTTGTTATTGGGATTGACTATGTTACACTTTGAATAACGAGCAAGTTTAACTATAAACATCATGTGTACAAGTCATTCGTTATATATTTTGTTCTACTAATAAAAAAATCTGCTAACTAAAATTTCTTTATTACATTTTCGAGGTTCGTTTTTCACCACTGAACATTACAATAGTTGCACATGTTGTTGTATACCAAGTCGATATTGTTGTTGAAGTGTAAGTGCTTTTGTACAGAGTTCTTTTTACTCTCATATATATAGGTACTATTTTTATACACTGATACTAATTTATTCATTTTTCATACAACACCTATATATATATATGAATGGGTTCGAAGCAAACTAGCAACGTAGGAAACAAAACGTAATGAGAAGAGCAAATACTTTAAACACAACTCAACTATGTATTTATGTACATAATTTAAAGAATTAAACTACTAAAGAAAATATAATTTCAAATATTCAATAAGGAATTTAGAAATAGATCAATATACACGGAAATAATTTTGTTTATATATCGGCTCATGTAAATCGAATTCGTTTCTTACGACGTCGTTGGAAAAAAAGTTTACGTATGCCTTTGTAGGCGAAAAAATATGCCACTACCATAAAGATGTATGTACAATGAAAAATGATTTCTATCGTTAAAGCTACAGTCCATTGGCACAAAGAAGAAGATGAAAAATAATTGTCTCTCTTTGTAAAAAAATAAAAAGATATTTTTCCTCTTCTGTTACACTATAATAAGAGGTGGTGTAAAATGAGAATCAAACGCCATTTTATATTTGCTTGTTGTTTGTCGATGAGTATAAAAGAAAGAAATATTTTCGCATCAAATTACAAGCATGAGAATAAACTTCTAAAAGAAATGCATTGGATCTTTTTTTAGCAGTAGTCTATGTTACGAAATGTATACTTGTCCAGACTGTTCATTTTCAGATACTGCGAGATAATCAAAACAACTATTATTCTTTGTACTGAAAAATCACTTTTGGTAAGTATGCTTTGATGTTTTCTCAAATTTCGTAAATGTAAGTATCTTCGATAAAATATGACTTATATTGAGCTGAAAATATACGATTAGCTTCATTCTTTTCTACACTCTCGCTGCTGATTACTAAAGATATTGTTGAACACAACTGTACTTCAACTATCATTACGTGACTTGAAAGACCGTTCTCTGTCAAACTTCGATTAGTGAGAGAAATGATTTTTATACTATTTAACGGATATGTATATGTCTCCGTCGCATTGTTGGTAAATTCCACTTTCGCTGAAAACATATTTCGTCGACGATGAATTTCACCGAATGAATTTGTCACCGAAAGCCTATATAAAACTGCATATAATCAATCTTATAGGTAACAAATGTATATTGAATAATTCGTCCATCATAGAAAGTCATTTGATCTCCAAGTGAAACGAATTCCAAGTTAGACGGTTACCAATTGACATAGCTAAGAACTCAGGTGGGTGTAGGTATTACAGTAATTTTACTCTGACATCCACACACCCTCTAAGATGGCAACCAAATGATATGGTAGACATGTAAGTTGCAAGTTGTCTCACTTGGAGATCAACTGATTTGGTATCATAGACTAATTATCCAAAACACAATTGTTGCCTATAAGATCGATTCGATGAATTTCATTTTCGGTCGACGTAGAATAAATCGTACAATGATGATAATATAATAGTATTGATATAATCTCATAATAGACAATCGTAGATAGGTCCTGTGAGTATCAAGACATAAAGTAAAAATGAACATTTCTTCAAACAAGCGTTATCTTACAATCACGATAATAACATAGAAAAATGATGAAAACTCAAATTTTTCTTTTCCGGGTATATGCTGCCAGATCAGAATTATCTTTAAAATGATTTTTATGTTCACTCTGTGAATAGACCTCAATTGGATAGAAATAGGTTTGATAATCATCTTAATACAGTTTTAGAAAGACTCAAACATATGGATTGAATCGAACTTTATCATTCATTAGATTATCTTCAGTGGTAGATGTATAGAGCGCTGTTTTCTTTTTCAACCTTAGAAAGAAAGATACTTTAGCATAACACAATGCTATACCTATAACTTTCCGACAAAAAAGGATTTCTCATAGAAGACTACCTCCTACATCCAGTAACTTACTTACTCCTTAGAGAAAATCGTTCAATCAAACATTATTAAATTTATACACAGAAACTTTAATGCCATTATTCACCGATCTCTAATCTTATTGTCTGAAAATAATAACCGCAGCATATTAATAAGCATTCCATATTAACTTATTTTGTTCTATTGTATTTTTCTTCTAACACACATACATAGAAAAATCTTACGACAATTATTTTATAGATCAATTCATTTATTGTCTTAAACAAAAGAAAGCTTGCTCTCATTTAAGAGTATTTGCATTGTAGATCATTTCAAATTATGGCTGCTAAGTTTCCTGATGAATCACAACCTGTTTCTCGATTCTCTGATTTTACTTCAGAACCAACAGAAACGCTTCCACCTATCCAAGGCTATGAAACTAGGCCTCTTGTTTCTCTGGAAGAAGCTATCCATCCTCTCATTCCACTTGTTCCTGAAGTTGAACGCATGGCTTGGATAGTAAAACAAAATCATTTCGATGGAGAACATGGTTTAACTAATGATGAAGCAGCCTCCATCTTACTTTATACAATAGAATGGGAGCCAAAACATAAATCATTTTATATTATCCTTAATAATACTTTACGAGCAGCTGATCGACAGTTATTGAAGCCATGGTTTCTTTATCTTCGCCTCATTATGACATCGTTAGCCAAGCTTCCATCGGATTCTAATCGTCTCACGGTATATCGTGGGGTCAAACTTGATTTAAGTGCACAATATCCAAAAGGAAGTACAGTCACTTGGTGGGGCTTTTCATCGTGTACAACATCTGTCGATGTTTTAAGCAATGAGCAATTTCTAGGTCAAAGCGGGAAAAGAACATTATTTACCATTGACTGTTCTTCTGCCAAAACTATTAAACAATATTCACTTTTTTTCCGCAGAAGAAGAAGTGCTACTTCCTCCAGCTCGGCAATTTTACGTGATCGATTCTCTTAATTCAGGCAATGGCCTTCACATAATACAACTCAAAGAAATCCAACCCAAATTTCCACTCATCAATCCTGTACCACAACCTCCGTTACATCCACCAACATCGCCTATGCCTAATCCAACATCACTTCAAAATCCGCCGAACCTGCTTAAGCCACATGAATGTAATGATCCTTCTCTACAGAAGTACATTGACGCAATGTATCTCGACCAAGTAATTCTTACATTCAAATACACTTTTCCTCATCAATCGTGCCACTCTAAATCAAACTTCTACCAATCGTAAGCCACAGCATAGTAATTCCTTCATTTTTCACACAGACACGCACCACACTCGACCTCTGTTGGAAAAAAATCGGTGATAAAGGAGCACAAGATCTTGCCAATGCTCTACAGATCAACAAAGTAACAACAATAATTATTCTTCTTCCTCTTCACTTCACTACATCATTCACACACTTTTCACACAGACGCTCACCAAACTCGAACTCAGAATCAATGAAATCGGGGATAAAGCAGCACAAAATCTTGCCAATGCTCTACAGATCAACAAAGTAACAACAATACTTGTTCTTCCTCTTTACTTCACTTTATCACTAACACACTTCTTACACAGACACTCACCATACTCAACCTGCAGAACAATCAAATCGGTGCTAAAGGAGCACAACATCTTGCCAAAGCTCTACAAATCAACAAAGTAACAGCAATACTCATTCTTCTTTCTCTTCACTTCCCTTCAATACTCACATACTCTTCACGCAGACACTCATCACACTCAACCTCGGAGTCAATCAGATCGGTGATGAAGGAGCACAAGATCTTGCGAATGCTCTACAAATCAACAAAGTAACTGCAATACCTGTTCTTCTTCGTCCTCACTTCAGTTCACTTCATCATTCACACACTT